CCTCCTCTCCTGATCCCCTCCTCTCCTGAACTCCCTCCTCTCCTGACCCCCTTCCTGTACCCCGCCCGCATCTCTGTCCCCTGTCACCTCCCCGCCGTGACCGTGCCCATGTCCCCGCAGCCATGAAGGCCAAGGGCAAGAACGTGCCGAAGGAGGGGCTGAAGGCGCCGGAGGTGTGCACGGACCCCGCCATGCTCGCCACCTACGCCATGGGGGTCAACTACTTCAAGGAGGGCCCGGAGGTGGCCCTGAAGCCTGACTCCGAGTACCCTGACTGGTAGGTGCTCCGCTGCCCGGGCTGTGTGCAGAGAGGGGGTCCCTCCTGGGGGGCCCCCCCTCCAGAGGGGCCAAAGAGGCACAGAGGAGTGTAGGAGGGACGGGGAACTGTTCTGGGAGGAGGAAGAGCACCGCTCTGCAGCCCAGAGACCTCCCCGAGGACGAGGGGAGGAGAGCAGGCTGCACTGCGGATGTGGTGGGTGAGGGGCCGCGTGCCCTTGTCACGCGCTTCCATTGCTCTGTGCCATCCTTGTCCCTCTGCTGCAGCCTCACATCCTCTGCATTCGCCCCCAGGCTCTTTAAGATCCACCTCGGTCCCCCCAAGAAGCTGGAGGAGATGGACCCCGACTCCATCGAGTACTGGAGGCGCCTGCGGAAGTACAACACGTGGCACCGCAACAAACTGAAGAAGGGCAAGAAGCTGTAGGTGCTGCAGAGCTCAGGGTGCGGGCGTGCCCCGAGTGCTGGCGAGGGTGCCGTGGGAACCTGCTTTTGGTCTCTTCTTCTTGCTGTAAACGAGTAATAAACCTCTGATGAGGCTGATACCTGTTACGGAGCTTGTGGCAAGCCCAGGCCCTTGGCAAACTCGGTATGGGTCACCCCTCATGCTGGGGGCTGAGGCAACACGGGACACAAATTCATGGGGTATTTGCTAAAACAGAAGCTCAGTTTTTTGCTCAGAGAGGGAGCCTGTGCTGTGTCATGGTTTCACCCCAGCCAGCAATAAGCACCACACAGCCACTCGCTCACTACCCCCCCGTGGGATGGGGGAGAGAATCAGAAGGGTAAAATAGAAAACCTGGGGGTTGTGATAAAGACAGTTTACAGATAAGTAAAGCAAAAGCTGCGCGCACAGGCAAAGCAAAAGAAGGAATTCGTTTGCTATTTCCCACCTGCAGGGAGGTGTTCAGCCATCCCCAGGACAGCAGGGCTCCATCACGGGTAATGGTTACTTACACACAAACGCCGTCACTCTGAACGTCCCCCCTGTTCCTTCCTCCTCCCCCAGCTCTATGTGCGGAGCATGACGTGTGGGATGTCCCTTTGGTCAGCTGGGGTCAGCTGTCCCAGCTGTGTCCCCTCCCAACTCCTTGTGCCCCCCAGCCTGCTCGCTGGAGGCTGGGGTGAGGAGCAGACAAGGCCTTGACACGGTGTGAGCCCGTAAGGGAAACATCCCGGTGTTATCAACAGTGTTTCCGGCACAAATCCCAAACACAGCCCCGTACTGGCTACCGTGAAGAAAATGAACCAGCCCAGCCAAAACCAGCACATGGCTCGTGCTCCCCGGCCCATCACACCCGTGCTGCAACGGCTGGGGCTGAAGGTCCCTGGGGTGGGGTGGGCCACGTAGTGGGTTTGGGGTGGGGAATGACTCTGCTGGCGTCACTGTGTCCCCTGGGCTTTGGGGGCTGAGCAGCCTGTGCTCCTGGGGGGTGGGAGGGCGGTTGGGGCAGGCTCTGGGGGTGCCACGGGGGCGGTGGGCA